AATGCAGAGGAAGGAAATTAAATTTAATTTACTAAAAAAAGGAGCCAAAGAAACCATAATACTACCTACATTACTTTCAAAGAAAACATCCAGTTATCTAGTTGTAGCTAGGGCCACATTTTATTTGACACACTATTGTTACTGACTCTGATCCTCTGAAATATGACGGATTTTGAGTCTCTCAGTCCAAACTTTTACCTCCTGCTGGTAGATATTATTTATGTTTCACAGTAAAATATGAGAAGATTATAGCCTATTTTAAATCATTGGTTTTCACAGTGGGTAGAGAACGATACGTCCCGCTGCTGACCGCTTCTCTTTGTACCTAAAGAAAAAGTCAACTGGAAGAGAACCAGGAGCTGCTTTTTTATCTAAACATGAATAGTTTAGTAAGACCTTAAATAACAAACTATCCTCCTTAATTCTGCCAACCATAACCCTATAGGTTTAGTAATTTAAGTTAAAACAAATGAAATCTTTTGATTTTTGTTTTTATTTGCTTGAACCACATTTGAAGCGATACGTTTTTGCGCCACATCTGCCTCCAAACGGTTGCTGGTAGCACCCAGGAGTGTTTTCTAGGAAATTCTCTGTTTGGCTAACTCCTAAAGGACTTATTTATTAACACGTCCAGGTTTTAATATTTATAGCAGTGGCGTCTGAGTCAAATAAACTTTCACAGCCAAATGTTGCACATTTTACAGTCTTCATATCAAATCACCAGGGTACAGAGTTTTTAAATGGAATATGCTTAACTATTTGGGTCAAAGGAAACATGATACCGTGTGAGGCAGGTGTTCAGGTAAACACTCTCCTGGAGAGTGCCAGAGTGTGTTTGAAGGAAAAATACTGGCACGGGAAGCTTTTGGCCAATATCCCTGGATGCAGACCAGAGAAATACTGCAGGAAGCTTAGGGTGTGATTATTTTAGCCGGCTGTTAAATCTGATATGGATTCAGGAAGGGTACACCGAGTGTCACTTGGGAACTAGAACACAGACAGAGCGGAGGGGCGGTTAGGTGTGTTAATGAAAGGTCACAAATGACCGTACACATGAGCAAGGGTGAGAGCCAAAGCTCGCCGATGGCTTGGAACCAATGATTTAAAGGTCCTGCAGGATGAGCAGGATACACTGGGTCATGTTAACACATTCCTCCAGCAGTGTTGTGCTGCGCCAGGCGGGCGTTGCCGTCAGGAAACTACTGTAACTTTCTCCTGTCCAAGTCAGAACGCCCACCGTTCACCAGCAGTGTTAAACGGGGAGATGGGAAGGTGTAGATGGGTGAGGAAGACACTCATGTTTCTCCTTAGAGATCTTAAAGGGGTTATATTTAGCATTAGGAGAACCCATGGAGCGGATCAACACATTCTGCAGATATCCAGCGTTAGTAATAAACACTGTCACCGACCTGCTACCGAAAGTCACCATCAATACTCCCTCTTCATTTAAGCTTCTCTCAATCCCTCAACCTATATATATATATATATATATATATGTATGTCATTATAACATACAAAGCATATTGTTCTATATTCAGGTCGTTTATCACTGTACTTCTGACTGGACATGTTCCCAGTGTCATATCGTCCTGCACAGAAATATGATGATAAATGACTTGACAGATGGAACAACAGGTGGTCTGAGGAAGAGTTCAGAAAGTGCAAAATGTAAAAGACGTTTCACGTGCTGCCTTAAAGGGCAATAACAGTAAATATCAACGTAGCTTATTAGAAATTTGTAGATGAACTGTGAATATTTTTGATGGTAGATGTGTATTTACTGAGTAGTCTGTGCTTTAGGCTAACAATGGAACCTGAAAGCCTGTTATTAGTTAGCCTAGCTTAGCATAAACATTCCTAACTGTGTCTTCACTGATGTCATCGAGTTCCTAAAGTTACACATTGCAGCCATGTTGGAGACACTCATGGTGATGAGTAAAGCAGTTTTAAACAAACTTCTGATATATTGTTTTAAATATTTTAAAGATTATTTTTGGCCATAAAAGCACCAGACTGGCTAACAAGCATCAAGAGGAGCAAACAAACGAGAACATATTTTGGTTTTGATGAATTATAAATCACATTATAATGAGAAAGTTTCCCTGCACCTGAATTGAAAATGTTTCCATAACTGGAGGAGGAAAACAGCTGGTGCTACTGTGCAAAAATCAAAACAGATTGACCCAGCAGGGCTCAAACACACAAGAGATATATGCATGTAAAAAGGTTCAAGCAAATTAATCTCATCAATGAACATATAACTAGGTAAGAGGGCCGACTTGACACAATATCCACCCATCACTGACCCCTTTCCTCCTACCACTGAAAGTTTTAATGCAGCTCTATGTACATCTTCTCTCCCCCAACAGCTTCTGACATTCTTCTACTTTATTATCATTATTATGAATTGTTGATACGTTTTATAAAGTAAATGTTTTTCATGATCAGAACAATTTCAGCTACAGGAGTATGTTATTATTTTTACCTTACTTGATAACATTGGACTTAGCTTGTTTTAGTTTTTATATACTACCAAAATGGCCACCCGGATTGATGACATTAAATGAAAACACTCCAGTATTTCTGGAGCAATACTCTTTTTTTTAGCGTTTGTAATTTAATACCAACTAATAGGATTTATGTTTTGTTATTGTGCACTTGTTTAGTTTCAAACTTCTGCTGTGTTTCCTGTTTGTTCCTCTTTAGGAGCACCACTCCCATGGTAGGAACTCTTCAGAGAACATGCCTCCTCCTCCAAGCATTTTCAGCGACCCCTTCTTCATGGTGGAAACTTTGTGCATATGCTGGTTTTCCTTTGAGCTCATCATGCGATTTTCAAGCGCTCCCAGCAAGATCCACTTCTTTAAGGATGTCATGAACATCATTGATTTCAGTGCCATCCTTCCTTATTTTGTCACCCTGGGAACAGAGCTGGCCAAAGACGATGACTCGTCTCCGACCACATCCTTGGCCATCATCAGAGTCATCCGGTTGGTGAGGGTCTTCAGAATCTTCAAGCTGTCTCGGCATTCCAAGGGCCTTCAGATCCTCGGTCAGACGCTACGGGCCAGCATGCGTGAGCTCGGGCTGCTCATCTTCTTCCTGTTTATTGGGGTCATCATCTTCTCCAGCGCCGTCTACTTTGCGGAAGCTGACCACCACACCACGGATTTTGTCAGCATACCGCATGGCTTTTGGTGGGCAGTTGTCACAATGACCACAGTGGGATACGGTGACATGTACCCTGCGACCGTTTGGGGTAAAATGGTTGGCTCCATGTGCGCCATTGCTGGTGTTCTGACCATCTCTCTGCCTGTGCCCGTCATTGTGTCCAACTTCAGCTACTTCTACCACCGAGAGACTGAATGTGAAGATCAAACTGAGTACAATCATGTGCAGACATCCCTATGGGAGGATGAGGAGCCTGAGGGAGAGGAGACAGAGGACGGGGATAGGTATCAAGATCCAGAATTTTATCCCACTGAAGGAATCTGCAACCCTCTCAACGGGACTTTACTTGGCGGATTATGTACTGGCCAGATGGCAGAGTACACAGGAGGTAACATGTATCTGAGAGAACCACTAGTTACACAAGTTTAGAAAGAGCCAGGATTCTTAGCCCCCGTATTCAAAGACACAGGAAGTGTAAGTAAATAAGCTAATTCTTGCAACAAAAGTGAAAAAAATGGAGGAATTCCAAAGGTACACTTTTAAATTCTCACCTTGAGTAAGACAATCAAGGTTATATACCTCCTAAAAATGTTGTACTGGTTCTACTTCCTCGCTTAATTGTCCTTTTCAGCAACACAAGTCAGCTAAATATACCTGAAGATAAGCCTTTTTCACAGAACAGCTCAAACTACCAACAGCTTTCTATTCTCAGGGTAACGGTATAAAAATAACTCCTGCTAACATGTAGCAATGCTTCCAGCTTGGGATGAAAATGACTTTCAGAAAGTCTGTACCTTGAAACTATGACGTCTTAGTTATTTTTGCCTTAAAGGTTGCAGTGCAAGCGAGACAGATGATTGCTACATCACAACAGAACTCAGCCAAACGGTAGTAAAGCTGCCTCCGAAGAAAGACTGGGATCTGTCCTGATCCAAATTCACATTCTCAACACTCTTTTGTGAAAAGTATACAAACGCCGTGTTTGTCTGTTTTAATTACATGCTCTCTTTGTTATGCTATAGCAGTAATACCCTTAATTTATGCTTTATAGCTCAGTGTTTTTGTCAAGGATACTATTTTACTAATTTTCTTGAAAGCTACTTTCATCTGTAGGCAGTAAAAATACATGGGTAGAAATTAAATGGGTTGACAAATATGATATTCACCAAGTGATAATTGTATTTTTTATTTTATGATAAAATAAAAATGAAAAAGAAGTCTTTAGGCTGCCATATCAGACCTCGTGTTTCATGTTTGAGTTGCTGAGAGAAGTCTTGCTAACTGCCAAATAGTTGTCATCCGATAATGTTCTAGTAATGTTCCCGTCTCAATAAAACTCTTCAGATTTTCCACTACATCACAGTGGAGACTAACAGAAGTTATGCAGACTAAGGCAATGCTGCTATAATAAACCACTTCAGTAATTGGCTTCAGCTAGTCCATTTAACAACCAGTAAAGTCCGAACTGATGAAATGTTTTGGTTTTTTTTGGTGGATAAAGTCCAGATCTCTGTTTACAAAAGATGAGGAAGTGATGAAAACATGACGTCAGTGTGATTTCCCACATTACAGCAACACATTTTAAAGGCATGGGAAGAAAAGCTAACTTCTAAAGATTTTATGTTAATTTGATCATACCAGTAGATCTATGATATCAACAAGACATTTTTGTTTTAGTTTTCCAAAGGTAATTTAGATTTGTCTGGTAGCAGCAGAGTGACTAACTTTATTTGTTTTTGAGCTCTGATAATAGTGTGAAATTAGATGCAAAAACAATACAGTAAAAAGTGTAGGCTGTTTACTTTTTATAAATGTAAAGAAAATGTCATATGGTGAAACACGGACGTCGCCATGTTGTTTACGCTGCAATGCATTCTGGGTAAATGACATGCTAGGTCCCGTAGTGCTAGCTAACCAGCCAAAAATCGATGGCAATGTAGAAATCACAAGGCGCAATGAAGATGAGGAGGACCAAACGAAATAAGAGGAAAAAGTTACCAGAAGAAGCTGCTGTTTGTGCTGCTGCTAACTTCAGCTTCATAACTGAAACAATGAAAGCCACGTACCTCTGGTCGGACTGTGTGATCCGGTAAGTTCATGTGCTCTGTGCGGTCCGGTAACATCTGTTTAGGGTCTGGTTTTTGGCCCGGTGTCGGTCCGTGATTTTACACTCGACACTATGGTAATAGCTTTGTTGTTTTAAACAGCTTTCTCTGTTTCTCCCATCGTCTTTCGCTCATTAGCCGGCGGGGTTAAACTGCGCTTTGTGGATAAAAAATGTCTGCATGTCATTTGGTTTAAGCTTACGAGGTTACGACTCTTTTTATCAATTTTGCTCATGACTTAAAGTTTTTTAGAGAGAAATGTTGAGAGCAGAAATACTTAAAAAGTTGTTTTTCCAACTCTTCTTGAGTTTTATTGGCGGTTGGCAAAAACCATTAAGTAGCATTACCGCCACCTACTGGTGGATGTGGTTCATTTCCTCGGCTCTTTCTCGTTGTGCTCTTCGTTCTTTCACGTGGGAAGCGTGTAAGACTCACTTCACTATTTTTGTTTTTGTCATGAAATTACTGCCAATAAAATGGCTACCTCCAGGCGTGACAAATATAACAAAATATATACATTTTTTGAAGTAATTATGAGTTTGTATGCATCACAAAGAGCAATTTTTGAGTTAATAGGAAAATTACAACACATTGATGTCAACATGTTCAACTAATTAAGGATCCATGTAAAGTAAATTAATCTTTTTTGCAGTGCCCCCACACAAAAATAGAAAAAATCTAACTTTTAATTTGAGTAGGCTTCATTTATTCAGAAAGGAAAACATGATGAGAGAGGATTGTTTTTAAAAAAATCACCATTGGTTTGATTATTGACATCTTTACAACTGGTGAACCATCTTTGTTAATTTGGCCCATATTGGTGATAATTGTTATGCTGACAGACCAGCTATATATATTTTATTGTAAATATAAATGTTATTTATCTTTTATTTATTTATTTGTTAGCTTTTTAAAGATGGCAGCTTAGAGGGAGTTGCAGCAGTATAACCATATACAACTTCTGGCATCATTCAAAACAGAAAGACAACATATACATACCTTCATGGTAAAAGTAATAACAAAACAGGCTAAAACTCTGTCACTTTAAATAATGTAGAAAAAAGGCGGTATGTATGTCTGTGATTACTGTTAAAAAAAGTAAACATGAAAATAACTCAAGATGTCCAGAGATTTAAATAAAATTTTATTTAATTTTATTTTTAACAAACTCATAGATTACAATTTAATTTTGAAAATTTGTTAAGATTATTTTTTCTCTTTCCTGAATCACAAATCAGACAGAAATTAGCAAAATAAAAAAAACTTTTGCGCTCATTATTAGTTTCTCCCACTAGAGGGCGCCCTGCTCCAATACTGAGCACTGCTCTGCATTGGAAATACCAAAAAGAAAAACGTGGAATTGCACAAAAACAATTCCAGGATTTATTTCCCTGGAAAAGAAATACAAATTATTCATATTTTCTCAAAAGATCTGAGCAATTCCCAGAATTAAAAAAAATTCAAATAAGCTTTAAATAAGACACAAAAATAAATAAATAACTTAGGTCAGTATTAATTAAATTTAAGAATCCTAAAAAAAAACAACAAAAATAATAAATTAGAAGACAATCATGTATCAGAGTTTTAAAACCCAAACAGTTCTGGTTTCTTTGTGGTTCTGTATTTTAGTCCACGAACAGCTGAGGACTGACCACCACATTCTGACCCATCCCGAAAAGGTCATCCGAGTCCAGGTTGAAGTCCCTCTGAGTCTTTGTTGATTCTTCCGAAACCGTTAAAGTATTCCTGAGAGGTAAAAATCTTGTGAAAGGAACCGAGTGTCGATCCGGAGAGTTTCTGGATGCCAGCGATAAAGGAACGCCGTGTTGTGAGTTCAGGAAACGGGTGTAGCCGTCAGCGAGCAGCAGTTCCCTGAAGGAGCAGTCAGCCTCGTCATAGATTGTCTGAAAGGAGCGGAAACCATTAAAACTTTCATCACCAGAAGAGAAAAAATACGACTAAACAGTCAAAAATTAGATGTTCTTGAGCTCTTCTTCATCGTACCTGTCCTCTTAGATTCCCGGAGTCGTCCATGCAGAGAAACATGGACGATGTCTGTCCCTTTATGACCACATGACCCGGTTTAACGGACTTTATCTGCAACACACCTGGACAAACAAACAGGTTCAGTTTTCAGGCTCTTATGTTTTCAGTTCATCTTCTGAAAATGCTGTTTTTTCAGCTTAGGAGATTTTTCTTCAACTTCTGTTATATCCTCAATGACACACTTGAGTCCTCTTCCAGTTTTTATGTACTTTTCATTTTCAAGAGTGACCAGGAGGAAGGAGCCTCTGCATTGTCATACACTGCAAAAACACGTCATTTTATTTTGTCTAGTTCCTAGTGCAAACATCTAAACACTGAAAATAAGACTAAACTAGCCTAAACGTAACTATTCAACAATAAATAGAAGCTTGTTTTAAGTCAACAATTCATAAATATTGATCTTAAAAAGTTCCAGTTCCACTCTGGAAGATTTTTTTTTTACTTATAATTTTGGAAAAATGTCTTTTTATGAGTGCAAAAAGTCTGCACTTTTTATCAATATTCAAAAATGTATTTAAAACAAGCTTCCATGACTTGCTGAAAACTTTCTTGTAAATCAGTTTAGTGTTATTTCAAATGTCCTCAGATATTTTCACTTGAAACTCGACCAAAATACTTTGTAGAATTTAGTTTTTTACAGTGTAGAAGAACCGGAAAGTCTTGGATTCCTGAACTAAAGCCCCAAACAATCTGATCAACTCTAAAACGTGAAGCATTATTTCAACAAATATTTCATTCCAGTTACATTTATACTATTTTGTTGAAAACAATTATTTTTTTTTTATCTATTAAATAAATGTATTCAAATTAAAGATCAAATTTTAAGGAAAGTGATCAATGTGAGATGAAAAAATGTGCTGGTTTCTGTATTTGCATGTATTTTTTCATATGTTTTTACTTGTAGTTTATGTTTTAATCCCTCAGTTACTCACTATAAGGACTCTGAGCATCACTTCCAGTCACTCTCCCATCCAGATGCATCTCCACATACAACCCGCGTCGGTGATTCTCTGCAGCAAAGAAATCAGCACAATTAAAATTAATAAACTCTTTCATTTTTTATTTACTTCACTTAAATATGAACACTTTATGTCACAGATAAAATAAATCATGAGTGAAAAGGAGCAGATAAAAGTGATCATATATAAATATCTTATAAATGCAGAAAGAGATTTAAATGGTTTTATCTCACTGTCCAGATTCACACCTTGAACTGAAATTCATCTTTCCATCAGCAAAATGTTTGAAAATCTCAGTTCCTTTTATTAAATTCCAGATTCTCCTTCCTGCACTGAATAAAACTGAAGTTCTGTACATACCTGTGTAGAGACGCACCTCTCTGAGCTGATTCCTGAAGGCAAGGATTGGGTTGGATTCTGGGACGTAAAACGACCATGAAAAGGGAAGAGAGAGGATTAAGAAAAGGAACGGGCAGGAAGGACTCTTATCTGGAAACAAAAACATTTTGACAAAGGAATAAAAGGGAATGTTAAATAAAATAAATACAAAATAAATAATAATAAATAGCTAGGGTGGAAAAAAGCCAAAATAAATAATAAATATGAAATTCTTGACTCTGTGTGAGCGGCTTCTGGATTAAAGGAAGTTTGGTGCTTTTATAAAGGAGTTAGGAGAAGGAGGTCCAACTTCACAAGAGTGTGTGAGTCAGACATTAAGCTGCTCAAACTGGAAACCAGTTCCCATAATGGACCAGCGTTCCCATAATGTGGTTTAAACACTTTTTACAAATCGATTCTGATGCATTTTAACAAGATTATTTAAAAAAGAAACATCAAAAAAGTCTTGAAATTAAATGTTTTTCCACATTCCAGCGCTGCGGCAGTCAGTGTTTATCTGAGACATTCTGCATAATTACCTCAACACACAGCAACGCAGCGGCAGCGGCTCTAACTCATACCAGTGATGAAGATCCTTTTGTCACGTTCACAACATTTACTGTAACCTAGCGTGCCTTCCCCTGCAGTCCTCCGCTCGGAAAATAAACACATTTCCAAACCTGAGAAGGAAGCTGCGGCGCTGACACGTCTCCCTGCGTCACGCGCCGCAGCAAAATGTGGCGAGTGATTCTGCCAGGAAGTGACGTCGGCCATGTTTTGGACTTTATGGTGTTTATTCTGTTTGATGTATGAGTGTTTGAGAGAGAAAGAGAAGGAGAGAGTGGGCTGAAACTGATTTCCAAGCAGGGGAAGTGTTTACAGGACCGCAGCTGTGCAGACACCAGAGAGACGCTGAACGTCAGACTGTAAACTCGCCGCCTGGCATCCAGCGAAAACTCCAGAGCACAGCAGACTGACTCCAGACACTGTGACAAGTGATGTTTGCAATGCAAAGGTAATCTATTGTCACATTTTAGAGAAAGGAATCGGAAAAGATATGAAAGATGAATCACTGCCAGCCTTTTTACACTGTAAAACACTTTAGCTGCATTTAGTTGTGTCTGCCATCTTCTACTCCTTAAGTCAAATAAATTTAGTTTTAGGATTTGAACCTAAATGTGTGAGTTTGTGAAAGATAGTAAGTTGTGTTAACTTTTTATTGAGAATTGAACAAACAGAGTTTTTAGGTTAACACTTTAAAAACTGAAAGAAGAAAAAGACAGGAGTGGGAACTATTTCCCAGAATGCTTAGCGGCGTGTTTCTGTCTCCTGAGATGGAAGTGTGTTACGTTGATCTGTTCACACTAAATGTTTCTGAGCTGAATTCATTCAGATGTTAAATAAAATTCATCATCAGATCAGAAATTTGGTTCATGTGATTTGAAACAAGAATTTAAATTATTCAACAGTAAAATAAGTCATTTTAACTTGATATTGTGGGGAAAATAACAGAGAAATGTGGCTCTTTAACTGGGTGAGGACAGTTTGTTTTCTTGCATATTGTGAAATATTTATTTGGTTTAAATGCAGCATCAAGTTAAAACTTACAAGTCAAGATCAATGAACTTAAAAACAGTGTTTTTAGGTTCTCTTGTTAAATCAACTTTATGAACTTTAATTTCTGAGTTAAAAACAATAATTTTTTATTGACTT